TTTTATATTGAGATAATTTCTTGTCTATACGTCATGATATATTTATTGAAAAATAAAATCATTAGTTGGAATCTTAAGATAAAGTCAACTCTATTTCAGGTAACTATTTATATTAATTATATATTTAAATAATAGCATTATAAGTATAACCCAACTTTATTAACTTTACATTCATTATTATATACAAGATATGTTCAGAAAATATTCGACCTTACTCTGTACGAAGACCGTTTGGATTAATCGTGATTATGTCCTCTTTAAAATACTTTCGTTTGAAAGTCACAATCTTTTCTCAATGCTGTTCCTATTTTCTGAAACAGTCTTTCTTGAGAACATTTAAAATATTTAACAATTGTCTCATTGTGTTATATATCCGCCACATCGTCAAATCTGTTCCTTTTAAAGTCTTTTAAATTTTTGAAAACAGCCAGAGTCACACGAAGCTGCATCGAAACTGTACAAAGACTGACAGACTTTGAATATCCGTGTTTCGTCAACAAATTAAAGATAATATGAGATAAATTGTCAGATTATCGTGATCAAACGACAATCAATACTTTTCCATATAAATGAGACGTTTCTTTCTCACTGCATGATAAAAGTTTGTACAAATTCATTACTTGACGCATTCGGTCATTGCAGAGGAATTAGATAATGCTATATATACTCACGATTTTGGATACTTAGTGCGTACTGTTGTTCTGCCGGATTATGTCGCTTGACAAGATTCTCACAAATAGAGAACATATGTGTTATACAATAGCACATCCACGTACAAATAATCGAATTTTCTGAACAGACCTCGTATGTACGCTTTTCGCTATAACGTCAATATTTCACAAAATGCAAACAACATCATTTATTATAATAGATGCATAATATTATAACAATATATAATATTATAGAGAAATCGAAAGTAATTCATTATATCTTAATAGTCCTATAAAAAGAAATTCGTATTCATAAACACCTCGATTAATAAATCGATAAATTAGGTACATAAAATAAACATTAATGACTTCTTTATTGCATAATAATAATACAGTACATATTGCTCCAAGAGTTCCATGGTTACTTCATACTAACAAATGATTCGTGAGTCATACTTTATGATCCATAGGAGCACACAATTTGCAGTTTTAAACTTACATTCACAGCGAATAGTGACAGTTTCTGCATTTGTTAAAAAAAAAAACAAAAGTGAAGACTACACTTAGAAAGAAAGCTTTCACAACTATAATTACGTTAAAATCGAAATGCTCACTACCAGCAATGAGAAATATTTAAGCAATTAATAGTTTAATTAATAATTTTCAAGCAATTTATTTATGACAACAGTCGCTAATCATGTTTAGTTTATTATCGAAAATTCGAGAACGAATCAAGGACAAGATAGGAGAAAGAAGACAGTTATTCCATGCTATGGATTTTCAGTCCTTAATGTATCCTTGTTTCACTTTTGGTCGCATTCTTGGTATGCATCCGTACAAAATCAACACTTTACCTTTCGAAATTTCTAAACCATGTTATATTATATCAATTATAACTGTATGTGTCTTCTTCTTTTCTTCATTGATAATAACAATAAACATTCCTGAATGGTTTGGTCCCCACCGAAACATAAGCAAACTTATTGAACTTGTCTCTTTACAAATAGTCGGTACTTTTATAACAATCGTCACATTTGTTTTAAGTGGTCCACGAATTCGTTTACTTAAATCTATACTGCAGATCTCTTCAAGATTATCTTCAGAATCGTATCAAAAGCCATCTATACTAATTCATATTAAGGATATTTTTGGTATCTTTTTCTTACTCGTATATACAATAAAGGATTGTTACAAATGGCGTATTTCCGTCTCGCTCAAGTTGTCTGCGTTGTACTTCAATCTGGTATCGTTTCAGATGAATATGCTGTATATAAATTGTATTTATGTATTAACAGCTTGTTTCAAGAAAATCGACAACGATTTAAAAAATTTACTCATAATGTGCGATCAACCACATTCAGTCAAATGGTTCTGTTTTACGCAAAGGAAATCTCATCTGCTAATGAAACTTAAAGCTTTAAAGAAGCTACATTTGGAGATTAGCAATTCAGTGCGAATGCTAAATATAATTTTCAGTCCGCAGATTCTTGCAACCATAGTCACAATTATCATCGTCATTACTTTTGAATTGCACTTTAATGTGATAAGTTGGCAAAATGGGTTGTCTATCGGTTGGATGAAACAGATTAAGAATAGAATTACAATGCCCTATGTTGTATTTCATGCTATCAAAATAGCATTGATAACATGGACTTGTCAAACCGGCAAAAATCAAGTCATCAAAATCAACACTACTGTTCACGACGTGCTTAATAGCACTGATGATGAGCAAATTAAACGTGAGGTATTGAAAATTTTAATTTCTCTATTCATTGTCTTAATATTTTATATCATGATACATTTTTTATATACAGAATAGGACATTTAAAGTATTATAATCTATGTAACTACATTTTATTTTTGAAAACTGACTAAATATGTATAATATATATAATATTTTCTTTACACCAATCAATTTATGTATATAATTAGTATATACATAAAAATATTAACATACTCGTATGTTTAACAAAAAGTTATAATTTACAAGACATCAAAATGTTCTAAAAGTATAATATATCTCATATATATATATATATATATATATATATATATATATATATAAACTGTCAATTTTTCGATATACATATTTACCTTATTTTTATATATGAAAAAGTTAGGGAAAATATGTTATGTAAAAAAAATCATATCATTCCATTTAAAAAAATAAAAACGACCTCTAATGACCTTTAAAAAATAATTTTTTTTTAAATTGATTTTATCATTATTTGTCCCTTTTGAAATCAATTTTTGTCAAAACATGTTTTTGATACGTCACGTACTTTCGGAGATAGTAGCTTGTAACAAATGCTCCACTTTGTATAACTATGCAACGTATAATTACGTTTCCCGAATCGAGAGAGAGAGAGAGAGAGAGAGAGAGAGAGAGAGAGAGAGAGAGAGATTTGTAAATGTTTTCTTTTTATTTAACATTACAGTTACAGTTGTTTTCTTTGCAAATAATCCATTGTGACAACAAATTTACTGCAAAATGTCTCCCTCTGGACGCGACGCTTCTCACAGTGGTAAGTGAGCAATCATTTCATAATTCAATATCTTTAAATTAAATTACAGTATTTACTTATATTATAATTATACTTTTTTAGATAATAGGTACTATTACTACGTATTCTTTTATTTTAATACAATTTTTGATTGTGACGAATTCTTGTGATGGGAATCTTGTAAAAAATGTTACACAAGCAATCTAAATCAGACGTACAAGAAATTTCATAAAACACAATCGGTAAAAAATTTATTTTTAAATATTGAACATACTTTCTTCTTTATAATAAATGCAACTCTTGTAACGTAATCAATTAATGTTTTATATTTATACAAATATATTGAAACATGTAATGTAGTTACTATTTGCTTTAAATGTAATACCTAATTTATCAAAGATTTTGCAAATATAAATAGAATACGCAACACATTTTGACATTATGTTTACTGAGAATTTATTAAAGATACCGATTTCTGATGAATTTCTTACTTAATATTTTAAATTTTTATTTTATTTTAATAATTTTGTGTTACTAGAAGATAAATAATTATATCTAAAGTAAGTTTAATAATAAACGTTTAAATAAATATTTTGTGGCATTTCATTTGCACAATTCAAGTTTTATTATTTTTTATAGTAATAATTCCATTAATTTTTTGTTGAAAGAAATATAATAGGATCAATGCATATTTTATTACAATAATGTTCGCTTGTTTTTACTATTTTCTTTTATTATGTTCTTGAAATATAAAGAATTACTATCATAAAAAATTACTTACTTAAATTACCTGACATAATTTTTTGTCTTTAGGTCACGTAAAATTAAAAAACTTAGAATATCAATGATGCTACACAATAATATTAGATCAATTAGCTATACTTTAGATAATTGTTTAGACTAATAGTGTTCTAAATAATAGTATTGTCATTTCATCATAACTTATTTTTAATAACTTGCATTCATTATAATATGTATACCATTCGCTACAATGACGATGTTTGACAAAACGCAAACAACTCTAATTTAATAATAATGTATACAATATTATTGCACAATAATATAATACACAATATTATATGGAAATCGCAATTATTATATCGTAATAATTATATCATAATAAGATTGCCGAATAATAATTCGTAGATTATTGTGATATAAATCAAATTTTTAAGATAAATATCAGTGACAAGAGTTACTTTCGATCAAATAAAAAACTGTATGTTGATATTAATATTTTTATATTAAATGTTATATCCAATCATAATATATTAAAAATAATATATTACGATATAAAAATATACGTATATTATATAAATAATAAGAAAAAATTTAATCTCAAAGTGTTTAAAATGGTAAATATCCAATTTTGAAATCGGATACTCAATGTTTAACACATTTTTAGAAACTAATAATTTACTACGTATTCGGAAGTTTCTGTTTTATGTGTACAGATATTATTATTCTAATGAGTCACATCTATATGTTCACAATGATGGCTTACATGACAGCTATTATATTTCATTACTTTATGCACTATATCCCAAGGGTGATACGTGTAACAGCTCCATGGTTACTTCATGGTTAACAAACAATCCTTAAGTCATGTCTTATAACGGAAATTGGTAGTGTTATATTAGCGTTAACCTGACTGGATGTGTGATAGACTATAAAAAGTCTATGTTAGTTTCTGTATATGTTACGAGGGAAATAAAGCAGAAAAACACATTTAAAAAAGAAACTTTTGTGATTACTCATTTAAAACTAAAGTGCTCGTAATGAGACATTTATATAATTAATAATAGGGCAAAGAATTTTCAAGCAATTCTTTCACAACACTTCCTTTATGTTCAGTCAATCGCAATTCCAAGGACAAGTCGAAGACAGAAAAGAAGGAAGAAGATGGCGACTATTTCACGCCACAGATTTTCAATCCTTGATGTATCCCTGCTTCATGTTTTGTCGCATTCTCGGAATATTTCCGTACAGAATTAACGCTTCATCTTATGAAACTTCTCAGCCATATTACATCTTGTGGACTGTTGTTATGTGCGTCATTTGCTTCTGCACGTTATTAACAGTCCAAGTGGTCAACAATTCTGTCTTGTTTGAGGGTAGAAGCTTACGCAGAACTTTTGAGATTAACGCCTTTTATATATTTAGTGGTTTTATAGTGGTCTTTACATACGTTTGGGATCGACCACGAATACGTTTACTTCAGACTATACTGAATATCTCTTCCGGATTGCCGTTGGAAACATATCGGAAACAGTCTATGCTGATCCACGCCAAGGACATAATCGGTTTTATTTTCATACTTATACAAGGATCATTCAATTTGCTCTACTTGGAATATCCTCCTTTTGTCAAGGTGTTTTCAATGTACATCACTATGTTCGTGCTTCAGATAGATATGCTATACATGAATTGCATTTGTGTATTGAAGGCTTGTTTGAAGAGGGTCAATGATAGTTTGGTAAATCTGCTCGTAATGAAAGATAAGCCATATTCATTTCGATGCATCTACTATCAGCAGAAAAATTTTTTCTTGTTGATGGAGCTTAAAGCTCTAAAGAAACAATATTTGATAGTCAACGACACAGTACGGATGCTAAATATAATATTCAGTTTGCATCTTCTTGCTAGTACGGTCGTAACCTTCGCTAGAATTACTTTCTTCTTGTATTATTGTATAGTATTGTGGCAAGATATCTTATATTTTCAATTAACTACTTTACAAAAACAGTCCAGTTACATATTTTTCATCACATCTATACTGTTTTATTTTATAAAAACAGCACTGTTAGTGTGGGCATGCGAGACTGGCAAAAATCAAGCCAATAAGATTGACGTTACTATTCACGATGCACTCAACAACAGTAATGACGAACAAATTAAAGATGAAGTAATAAAAATAACAATTTAATTTGTATATCGTTTAAAAAAATGTCATATATTATTATGTTTCTTTGTTATTTTTTATATAATTAATTATTTTTCCTCTGACATTACAGTTGCAGCTATTTTCTTTGCAAATATTACATAATAAACGACGAAATATATTCTGTGCGAAGGGTCTCAATATGGATGCGCCGCTTTTTGCTGCTGTGAGTGATCAATTATTCGCCTTTATTAATTTAATTCATATTGCATATGATTTTGCTTTTAGTTAATAGGTAACATCATCTCATATCTGTTAATCTTGATACAAATCTTGAAAATGTCGATTTCTTGCAATGAATAAGTAGTTAATAGTTCACAATATTATATAGATAATATAACTAAGTAAAGATATAAAAAAGAAGAAGAGAAGAATATGTTTCTAAACATTAAAAATATTTTCTATTGATAAAACATAATCGTCCGATATTCGTATAAATAGTTGTAAACAAACATATGTGTAAAAAAGCATTAAAAATGTTACACTAAATGTATGTTAACAGTAACCAGAAAATAAATAAATAAACATAATTAAATTAGATACTTGTTGATCAATTAAAAGTAAATAATGAGATTAAACTTTGATTTGCGATAGTTTTGGAACTTTTGCGTCATACTTGAACGAAAGGGAAGGAAATCTTTTTTCCTTAAATAACGAAATATTTGCGTAATACGAGACAAGATTGTTCCGCATTACGATTGTCGATGATACGATATCGGGAGCGAATAAATTTCATTACAGCCGGCGGACGCGTTTAATGCCGAGCAGCTCCGGCGGTCTAAAGGCCTGGATAGGCCAACTCAGCACCCTGATATTTCTTTGAATAGAGATCTGTGTCGTGCGATAGGCTTGTATAAAAGACGGAGGTGAAGACGGAAGGAACTCCACCTCTATCTTGCTCTTTCATTCGCCCGTTCCTCGTCGCCGTAGTTCTAATGTCACTTAGCATATCACCACTCTCCGTTCCTTTAGACTCAAATTTTCACGCTCTGCCTCTTATAGATAACTCCCGTAGCTCTAAACTCGTTAGTAAACCAAACTAATACTTATTGCAAGTGACACCAAGTGTGAAATGAAGTAACACAATCTTGAAACGGAACGTACCATAATTAAGGTACAAATGTCGAAGTAAATCCCGTTAAACTTTACTTGATTTAATATGATTCCATAGCTAAATTTCTATCAGTTTATTAAACTAAAATTAAACATGTAGAATGTATATGTAACACAATGACATTGTATAATTTAAATTTTCATTATAACTAGAACATAATATACTTCTTCTCCCTATTAACAATCACAAGAATCGTTTCATTTCGTTAATTAGCTAAATCTTGCTAAATTACAATTATTATTATTATAATTATTACTTTCTCTTTCCCAATCTCTCATTACTCGCTACTATTCTACCGTTATTATTTAATTAATCCTCACGTTGCTCGAAAGGGATTAATCCCCCGGGACGCAATAAACGTTTTATGTCTACGTCTACATCCGATCGGGCGAGGTCGTGTCGGAACCGCGGAATAGCACTGAACTCGACACGAGTAACTCGGGAATAATCCGTCACCATAAAAACCGCGCCCGCTACAAGTCCCAATGGCAGAACGGCGAGGACATTAAATCCCGACAACATGAGGCGTTGAACCGGATGGACAACACGGTAGAGAAAGTGAACCGCGTGAAGGTATGTACACTGGGAGCGGAACGAAAACCCATGGTAAACTCAATTTTCCGTGTTAACTTGGTCGACGAGGAGGTCGCAACGAGAGTCCAGCCTGATCGCTTAATATTCATGGAGGCGTGGCAAGCCATGGTTTTAGTGTTTCTCTTTGGTCGGCCAAGTGGGTTTATGGTTGTTTCCACTTCGAAACGACCCGTCGCAGATCAGGCGAGTCATACAACGCGTCTCACCCACGAGAATTCGCACCCTGACAGCCTTTACTTACGTCGACACTCGCGAGACTGCGACTGGAGAAGATTTGTTGGGTAAGTCATACGTACGTTGAATAAGAAAGAAGCAAAAGAAGTTTCTTACTACTTTCCATTACAAAGAACTCATCTTGAAGTAATCAACCGAATGTGTTTCAGATAAATGGGCAATTTATAACAATAGGAGATGGCTTCCAGCTTTGTCGGAATGTATCATCGTTGATTGCTGAAAATACCAGCGTAATGACGATTGTTGCAGTAATTCGATTAAGCAGCATTGCCAAACAATATGAGATATGACCGTCACACATTTTGCTAATAACGGCCAATACTGATTGACTATCAAAATATCATTTGAAATTATAATACTAACTAAGAGTCGATCCAATTGTATTATCATATTGATGAGATACTTCGTCTGCAATTTGGAACATTCTGTCATGTAACAATGAAAATTCCTGCAAAAATAAAAATAGAAGCCGTCATTGAAAATTATTAATAACTCTTTGTAACACAAATTTTTACACTGCGTCTATATATAGGACTCATTTAATTTATGTTAATTAAAAGACACTAATTAACTTCAAGAAACCAAAGTAACATAATTTGTGTAAAAAAAAATAAATATTAAACATATTTTAGTAAGAATGATTCAAATTTGAAGATATAATAAATAAATTTGCAGATAAATAAATAAAATTGAATTGTTTAACACTTTTGACAAAGAGATTTATGATTTAATAGAGTCTAATAGACCCATCATCCGCTCACAAGGTTTAAAATCAATTACGTATCATAGAAGAGAAATTTTAACTTATCGTTGAATTACACATTACTTAAAAATTGTCATCATTTTATTTAGATCTTATTCATTAATTTTAGTTAAGTAATTCATTATATATCCATTGTACAGTAATTACATGCCATAGCGCTTTCGAAATTTCTTACATATAAAAATTTTATAGTAATGCTTATATGAAATAGTCAAAATTGCAATTTGAGCACAGAATTGAATCAGTTTGAGTGTCGATGATCAAAGAAACTGTAACAGATCTAATTTTCACAGAGGAAGAAAGAAAAATATATATACTGATATATATATATATATATATATATATATATATATAAAATGAATGCGTTATGTTTGAACTAAAATCGTAAGATATTCATAATAGATGCTTTAGATCGGTTCGAAAAATGCAAAAAGTGCGTCGGGATCGTCAGATGCAAATTTTACACGCCTGGATGTTAAGCGACGTAGAGCGGATTTTTTTATATCATTTCTCGGCTCTCGTGTAAACTAGCATTTTTGGTGTAAAACAAGGACACGAATTTAGTCGCGTATCACGCACATGAAGATCCATTGTGCACTTCGAGAGATACCGAATTCGCGCAATGCGATAAAAACAAGAATATATTATATATAACTATGATTAACTCTTAGTATACATGATTTTCCGGTCCTTTATTACATACTATGGATCACTCATGTCTTGAGTTAATTTTAGAAAAATTATAACTATTTACTTGATAATCGAAGTTTTTCGAAAAAAATGATATTGAAATGATCCAATTGTGCGTATTAAAAATTAAATATAAGATAAAAATTAGTATCGCGCGAGAAAAAGAATGGTAACAGTGAAACGAAATCGCAAGCACGAATATTATCACCCAGATGATTTCTATCTCGCGACCAAATAATTTTAACATTGTATTTTTAATTGTGCTTCTTAATCATCGTTGAAATTGTCCAACAATCATAAACATGTTCGATTTAAGAAAAAGATTGTATATTGTATCTTTTTAGATTTAAATATAATTCAGTCTCTCTCTCTCTTTCTCTCTCTCTCTCTCTCTCTCTCTCTCTCTCTCTCTCATATATATTCGGTTTTATTATTAAACACTGCACACACAAACGTGGACTGTTTAAAATTAAATTAAATTGCTAAATATACTAACGAAGTAAAAAAGAGAGGTAGATAAATTAAATATTGGAGCTTTGTAGTAATGGGATTCAATTAGACGAAATAAGATATCCCCCGAAGTAAAGTGGCAATTATCAGTTTTTTAGATAGTCTAAACTATTATACTATATTTAAAATAACTTTTATTTTTTATTACCTCAATTCTGGATAACTAGAGTGCAAATAATAATAATTATTACATCAAAATGAATTTGGGATCAGTAATTCTGTGATCTTTTGTTAGTTAATGAGAATTTTCTATTTATACGAAAATTTGCTATTCGTACATGTATGCATCCATGTTTAAATAACAAATTTTTATTCATGAAGAAGCAGTTATAGAATTATCGTTTCTACATACTATTCCGTTTACATTTCAATTACACACAATTCAAGCGCAATTAGAAATATAAGCGCTGTTAAAAGCAAAGTTTAAATTAAAATCGAAAAAGACAATAACTAATATTATTATATATATATATACATACAATACTTATATAGATTTCTCATTCTACTTTAATCAATATCAATTTAAGTTCTTCACCGAGATCTATTGGACAGATATTACACAGAATTTGACGTATTAATTGCCACGTTACAGAATAACAATTACATGTGCGAAGATTGTTCCTGATGTAACGTCAAGCTCGAACAATTTGTTTCCTGGTTTCCTCAACGAGGTCAACGAGAGTCATAAATCAAAGAGTGAACGATAGTATGAATGCTTCCAATCAATTAAGCGCATTCGTAAAAGAAACGGTTTCGTTGATCGAATCATACTTGTTATTCCCTGCATAACGAACGAAGCGGTTCCTTTGAAACCTCAACCTATGCATGCCTTTCGACATTGTCGTTGGAAAAGTGTCACAAGAAAATGCATCTCCATAATTTCAAGTCCGTATTTTTTCGTGCAAAAAGATATAATTTTACTTTTAAATAGCCACTAATTGAATTGAACTTTCAATGCAAATGTAAATCGTATTGTTTTACAACGGAAAGAAGTAAAACGTATATATTTCAATTCCTCTCTCTATATAGGAAATTGAGATACATTTCATATACTCTTCATCTATTTAAACATGCTTTAAATCTAATATAAAAAGTTATAATTCCTAAATGTGTGTGTGCTTCAAAAATAGTTAATTAACATTTATCTCTCATAAAAATATTAAATTTTACAAAATATTTAAGTGAGCAATTTCAAATAAAGACTTACTGAATATAAATATATTTTAAATTATAAGAACCATTTTTTGTATACGCGTATAAAAATTAATTAATTTGATTTAACTATGCATTTTTTATCAAGTAAATACTTATTAATTATAAGTAAGTT